TGACTCAGCAATACCACTATTAGGTCTGTATCCCAAAGAGATTAAAAAAAAAAAAGAGAGACAGACACAGAGACAGAGAGACAGAGACAGAGAGAGAGAAGGCTTATATGTACCAAAATATTTTTAGTAGCTATTTGTGGTGGCAAAGAATTGAAAATTGAGGGGATGTCCATCAATTAGGGAATGCCTGAACAAGTCATGGTATATGATTGTGATGGGATGCTATTGTGCTATAAGAAATGATGAGCAGGATGGTTTCAGAAAAACCTTGAAAGACTTACAGGAACTGATGCACAGCGAAATGAGCAAAAGTGGGAGGACATTGTATACAGTAACAGCAACGTTGTACAATGATCAACTGTGAATGATTTAGCTATTCTCAGAAATACAATGATCCAAGACAATATGGAAAGACTTGTGATGAAAAATCCTATCCACTTCCAGAGAAAGAACTAATGGAGTCTGAATGCAGATAAAAGCATACTATTTTTTTATTTTTCAGGGTTGTTTTTTTTGTCTGTGTTTTCTTTCACAACATGACTAATATGAAAATACGTTTTGCATGTGTAACCTATATCAAATTGCTTACCTTTTCAACGAGGGGGTAGAGGAAGGAAGGAGATAATTTGGAACTCAAAATTTTTAAAAAATGAATGTTAAAAATTCTTTTTACATGTAATTGGAAAAAATAAAATTTTTAAAACTAAAAAGAAGACTGTGGAGATCATTTAGTCATCTCTCCCTCCTCAAATTTCTCATAGCACTTGGGGAGTAGAGGGTACAGTGGTTCAAGTAAGGCTTCAAGGAGGAGGATGCATCTGAATTAGACACTGAAGAGGAATTTAAGAGGTCAGAAACCTCTAGCAGCAACTCATTATCTACTGAATAAAGCCAGAAGTTTGTACTTTATTCAGTAGGGAATGGGGAGCCACTGAAGGTTTCTGAATATAAAATGAACGTGCTCAAAGCAGTATGTGATACAGTAAAACCAGCCTCCTGCTGTTCCTCCTACTCAGCACTCTCACTTCCACGTCCAGGGCTTCCCAGGGCCTGCCCCTGAGGCCCGGAGTGCATTGACTTTTCTCCTTCTTAGAGTCCCTCATTTTCTGCAAAGCTCCAACAAAGTACTTGCTACCTTTTACGTGAGATTTTTTCCCTGTCTCTCCAGCTAATAATGCCTTCCTCTCAAAATTATTCCTCTATGTTTGTGTTGACTCTGATGGTGAGATTATAAGCTCCTCAGGGGAAGGGCCTGCTTCACTTTGGTCCATCTGCACTAACGGCCTAATCACTGCTTATCAATGGACTGATTGAATAGAGCTGGAGATTTTAGAAAATAAAATATGGACACAATTACAGAAAGCTATGGCTAAAAGAAACCTTGTAAAAGTAAATTCCTTGAGGAGAGTGGGTTGTGTCATTTTTTCTTTGCTATCACCACAGCCTATTTGAATGCCTCACATACATCAGTTGCTTAATATTTGTTGAATGGAATTGAAACTTAGAATATAAGAACGTTACAACACGTACATATATAATGTTAGAACGAGAAGAGACTTCGGACATTGTTAGAACATAGAGCACAATGTTACAGCTGGAAAGCCCTTAGAACACCGAATGTTAGGATGCCAGAATTGAATGTTAGATCATTTAGCCCAACCCATCACTGAGGCCCAGAAAAGTGAAATGATTTGAACAAAGTCACACAGCCAGTCAGTGACCGTGCCAAAAAGTGTAAGTATTAAAGAGGGAGATGTAGCTGGTAGAATTGGTGCATTAAGGTCACTGTGAATTTAAAAAAGACATTGTAACAGTGCTTTGAACTGAGAAGTTTTATAAACACACATCTATAACCTGCCCAAGAGGTAGATAAGCACTTGTCCCTTTATTTGTCCTCAATTTCCACTTCTTATAGAGGTTAAGGAACACACCCAGGGTTGGAATTGACACTCAGACCTCTCAGCTTCCGGGCTTTGGAGTTGGGAGTTCAGACTACACCTCCTGTGTCTATCAGGAAAAACATCTGGCGAGCAATGCCTGAAAATGGGATGTAAAGGGGAAGTGGTGGAAACTAATTTCTTTAGACTTAGAGCCAGACTGGACAAGTTGTGGGAGGGTGGAGCCCTCCTAGTCCCCAGTTCCTTGTTATTGAAGTAGGTTATAGGACAAGACACCTTGATAACTTTTTTCAGCCTAGGAATGTTCTCAGTCTGTTTAGTACTAGAAGCTTCAACTCAGTGGACCTTTAGGGAAATCTATTGTGTACTAGCTGGTGATGTTAGAAAAGAAAGCTGAGAATCTAAATTCTAGGAAATTATTTGGGAACAAAGGGGTCAATTCATTAATAACCCCAATTTATATAACACTTTAAGGCCTACAAAACACTTCTCACACAACTAACCTGTGCAAATATTTGTAGCACTAGAAAGTAAAATGCTTCTATGCAACAGATATATTTCTCACCACAGTCTTATGAGTCAAATGGCATGATTTTATAGCTTCATTTTATTAATAAGGAAATTTAGGCTCAGAAGGTTGAACACTTTGTCCCAAGCCACATTATGTTGGGAGTCAGGATTTGAACCCAGGTCTGTCTCAAAGTCTGACCATTCTCCCCTCTGTCCTGTTGCTTCCCTAATATCTTCCTATTTACATAGCATCTTCTTTCAAACATTTCTATTGGCTCTCCAGCATTGGAGAAGGCTCCAAAGGTCTCCAAAACTGTATTTTGAAAGAATCATGGTCATAGAACCACAGACCAAGTGCTAGACAAGATCTTAAGAAATCTAGTTTAGTTGTCTCACTTAACAGATTAAGGAAGCAAGGCCAGAGAGGGGAAATTATTTGCCCAAAATCATACTACAGCTACGTAGTAAGGCTAGAACTCAAACTCCTGATTCCAGAGTATGTAGGTAAATGTTTAATAACCGACTTTGAGGGAAAAATTCACATATAACACACTTTTAATGTTAAATTAAAATGTTAATTAAATTAAATTAATGTTAAATCTGCATTATTATCATTCTCTGCATCAAGTATAAACAATCAACAAAACAATAAATCAAGTCTCAATTCCTAGCATTTGCCAATTTCCGAGGTATATATTCTAACACTGAAAATGTTAGCAATCTCCTCTTGTGAGCTGGATCAAGCCGGTTCCTAAGCCAATGTGCTTTTCTACTTACGAGTCCTCCCTTTACCAATGTAAATCACACTTCCTTAAGAGTATTGGTCAGGGCAACTAGGTGGCGCACTAGATAGTGCACCATCCCTGGAGTCAGGAGGACCTGAGTTCAAATATGACCTCAGACACTTGACACTTATAAGCTGTGTGACCCTGGGCAAGTCACTTAACCCTGACTGCCTCACAACCAAAAAAAAGAAAGTATGTCTTCAACTTAAATGAACTGATGCAAAGTGACACGAGCAGAACATTAAATAGTGACAGCAATATTGTATGATGAACTGTGAATGACGTAGCTATTTTGGGCAATACAATGATCTAAGACAACCCCAAAGGACTCATGATGAAACATACGATCTGCCTCCAAAGAACTGATATTGTCTGAATAGACTAAAGGATACTATTTTTCACTTTCTTTTTATTTCAAGTCTTCTTATATAAAATGACTAATATAGAAACGTTTGACATGATAGCACATGTATAACCTATATTAGATTGCTTATCATCTCAGGGAGAGTGAAAAGGACAGAATTTGAAACCTTAAACTTTTTTTAAAAAAAGTGTTAAAATTATTTTAACATGTAATTGGGGGAAAGTATTTTTTAAAAAAATCAGTCTTCACAAATTGCCATGCTAAAAAAAAAATTCACTAGTTGGCCTGCCTTTTGTTGATAAGCCTCTCTGTACTTATTTTCAATCCCTCACCATCCCCTTCCCCAACCACCACTGCATCTGATGAAAAGAAATACTTTAATTCACCCATAATTTTGGTCAGTGTGGGTCCTGTCTTGACCTATGAACATAACGACTCTCCCTCAACTTAGGACAGGTTCTTCATAAGCTGGCTACACCAGGAATGTCATTGACCTAGTGGCTAATGCTCTAGTGATAAGCTTCTCTGTATGCACATTTTATTGCCTGCCCTGTATTTGGAGTTTTTCTAGCTCACAGGGTTTGTCAGAACCTTTAAGAACCCAGAGTTATGTCTGCATCACAAGGAGGTATCAGGTCTTCTTCCAGAATTCTTCAAGCACAAATTGGAGCCAACTGGCAGTTTGAGTTCAATATTCATGTAGTATGTTGTGAAAGTATAAATAAATGTGAATTCATTATTTGGATGAATTCCAGGCAAAATCAAAGATAAGACTCACCTGAATTAACTCTGCAAACCCATTATTGCCAAGTCACACAACAGTCACACAACCACACCAAAATGGCAAATGGTCAGCTCTCTGTCTACGTTTTTATAAGGTGGTGACAGAAGTACAAGCCTGCTCTAATATTTTTTTCACTTAGTCATGTTTCCCCCATAATCCATTAATAACTTTAGGTGGGGTATTACTGTACTCATAAAGGGGTCAGCTTCAAATGGTGTTGTGACACTTGGCAACCAGATGAATGCATACATGGTATAGTGAGGAAAGTACTGGATTTCTGGATTAAAGGCACTAGGTTCAAATCCTGGTAATGGTACTTGCTACCATGTACCATTTGGCAAGTCACCTCATCTCTTCACACATCAGAGAGTGGAAGAGACATCCCCAAAGATATGAAAGCAATGAGACTCAAACTCAGGTCTCTCGAGTCATAGCCCAGTGACCTTTTCAGTCCATGACAATGGCCTCCACTACCTGAAAGAGAAATACAAATAGCAGTACTCCAGAAGCCTAAAAACGAGAAGGGGAAATCAACTTAAAAAGTCAGAAGGTTAAATAAAATATAATAAAATAAAGTGATTTCCTTTAAATCTCTACTAAATAGCTAGTTCATCCTAAGAATCAGGAAACAGTATAAAATAAGTGCCAAACCACATAAATTAGGTTTTCTTTTTTTTATTTTCCTGGAAAGGACCCACTGGTCCTGCAGAGAAGCTGGACAAGAGTCTTAATTCTGTACTTGTTGCTTGAGGCTGTCTTCGAGTATGAGCTCCCTAGATAGAGCTCTTTCTTCTACCAGTTCCAGAAGTAGAATCGGCTACCATGTTTTGCAGGCTTCAAATTTCCCTCATAAGCAGGATTTGGCTCTGGTCTTGGTCTAGAATGATAGGGATTCTCTGGCAGAGGTCGGGCTGTGCTCACTTTTGTAACCTGGAAAGGGGAAGAAGAGAAGCAAATGACAATTTTGGGAGAAAGGTGTGCAGTAGCAGGTGCTTCCATTTTTATAGGGCTTTAAAAGTTCCAAAGTAGTTTCTTCACAATAATCCCCTGAAGCAGGCAATGCAAGAGTTGGCACAGAAAAGGGAACTGAGGTTGAATTGCCCATGGTCACACAAGCAGTCAGTGTGAGAGCCAGGTTTGAACAAGAGTTTCTCCTGACTCTGAGCTTTGCACAGAATATCAGAAGTGGCAGATACCTCAAAGAATAGCTAGGCCAATCTCCTTATTACAGAGACAAGAAAACTAAGGTTTAAAGATGAAATGATTTGTCCATGAATACATAGTCAATATTCAAAAGAACCCAGGTATTCTGACTCTAAACCAGTGCCTTTCCTACCACAACATGCTTTCTCTGGGGAAAACTACTGATTCTTTTCCACCCTCACTCTCCAGTCCCACTCCTACTTTAAACCTGTGTGAACATACAAGTGTGTTGGCAGGAGACTTGCACATGAAGTCTAAAAAAGTGGGGTGGAGCTCTACCACCCTACTACCTACCTGTGGGCCCCTCAGCAGGTAACTTCTTTTCTTTGATACTCGGTTTCCCCCTCTGTAAAAGGGGGATAACAATACTCTAACAAACCCAGGAAAGGTTTGGGGAGGAAAACATTCTGTAAACTATAATGAAGCCCTGAATTAAGAGCTGTTTTCAGGATAGTTTTATGCATAGGAGGTAACATATCTAACTGGCCACAAAATCAAAGACGGATGGAAAACTTTTCCAAAGTGTGCCCAATCTTAAGATCATAGTTTTAGACCTATACAAGACCTTAAAGGCAGTTCAGTCCAAACCCCTAATTTTTGAGATGAGGTCGGGTGACTTGTCCAAGGTCACACCGGCAGCATTCCTACCAAGTGCCAAGATCATATACTCAAAAACTAAGAAGCAACTGAAAAATACCAACATTGCAAAAAGACAGAATCCTTCCAAAGTTCTAAAGCCAAGCAAAAATGACTTTGAGATCATACCTCATAAAAGGACATTGGCATACCTTCTCTTATACAATAGACATGCTCCTAGAAAATTTGGTATCAACCATAGTTTCATATAATATAATCATAGAAACTTAAAGATTTTGATAGATAAGGAGAAGGCAGGAATAGCATGACATGTATCCTACATTTTAGGGAGAGCAGATCTTTCAAAGTGCACAAGTATGATCTAATAGGGTAGGGATATGAATGTACAGAGAACTCAACTAACTTAAGTTACAAAAAAACAAAACCACATACAGAAGAGGGAAGCAAAGGAAGATGACAGAGGAAGAATACAAAAGCATCTCATGGTCCCATAAGGAGAGTCAGGAGCTAAATCTCAAAAAAAAAAAATTAAATAAATAAATAAATGAATGGGAGTTTTGGGTTTTTTTTAATCTATATTGAACTCACTAGCTATGTGACCCTGGGCAAGTCACTTGACCCCAACTGCCTACCAAAAAAGAAAAAGTATATATAATCTATATTGATAGAAGAGAATCAAAAACAAAATGACAGGACTATGGCTCAGGGCAGATAAGGCGATAGGAGGGTAGTGGATAAAGTCCAGTTAGGTAGGGTAGTGAATAGAATACAGCCCTCAGAATCAGGAAGATGAGCTCAAATTCTGCCTCAGACACATACTACCTGTGACCGTGGGCAAATCACTTAGCTTCTCTTATTCTCAGTTTCTGTTTTTGTAAAATGGGATGATAATAATATCACCTAGGTCACCAGGTTGTTTCAAGGATCAAATGCGATAACATCCCTAAAGAGCTCTTTGAACCTTAAGTCCTACATAAAAATTAGCTATTTTTGTGATTATAACAGATGACAGAGAGAACCACTCAGTTCTCATTTGATTCTGTTTTCTCTCACAAGGAGAAGAATCAAACAGCATTGAGCACAGTATTTACATAATTGTAGGTACTTAATAAATGTTTCTTGAATGAATGATTTTAGAGCTGGAAGACAGAACAAATATGACTAATAAGGAGTTGAATCCCAAGATAAATAAGGACACAGTAAGAGAGACTCCAGCTGCCCTTGAGGAACTCAGGTTACCTGGCCTACATGAAATACATCACACATTCTGAAAGAACTGCAGATGTGATTGCTGAACTATCAATGCACTTTAAAAGATCGTGGAAATCAGGGAAAAGACCACAGGACTGGAGAAGTACAAATGTTGTCCCAATTCTCAGAAAAGAGAAGAGAAAGAGTCTGCTAACTCTGGGCCAGTGAGCTTGACTTTCATTACTAATAAAATTCTAGAAAGTATTATTAAAGGAATGGTTAGTAAACAACTAGAAAAAGGAGTGATTACGAAGAGCCAGCAAGGCTTCATTAGGAGTAGATCATACTGAACTAATATAATTTCTTTTTTTTTTTTCTGACAGAGCTATTAGATCAGGGAATGCCACAGATAATATTTGCTAAAAAACTTTCATGCTATTATTGTGGAAGAGATGGAAACATGTAAGCTAAATGGAAATGAATGGAGAATCTTATACACAAATGTAGAATCTTTGAACTCAGAAGAGACTAAAAAAACAAAACCCCATTAACTTTCACAATTATAAGATGGGGGAAAACATGACTAGATAACAGTTTGTCTGAAAAAAGATCCAAAGAGTTTTGGTGGCCTATAAGATCCATAAGCCAACTGATGGGATAGCTAATGCAATCTATTAATAGAAACTGTGTCCAGGGATAAGGAGGCAAGAGTCTTCCTGTCCTCTGCCTTGATTAGACCACAACTGGAATATCACGTTCAGTTCTGCCTATCAGATTTTAGGAAGGACACTGATAAACTGAAGAAGATCAAGAAGAGGCCAATCAGGCTTTGAATTCATTTGAGGTTTATACCATATGAGGATACAATGAAGGATCTAGAGCAGAGGTGGGGAACCTGTAGTCTGGAGGCCACATGTGGCCTTCTAGGTCCTTGAGTATGACCTTTTGGCTGAGCCCAAGTTTTACAAAACAAATCTTTTTATTAAGGGGATTTGTTCTGTGAAGTTTGGACTCAGTCAAAGGACACACCTGAGGACCAAGAGGGCCACATGTTTTGAGGCTGCAAGTTCCCCACCCCTGATCTAGAGAAAAGATCGGGGCAAGGGAAGCAAGGGTTGTTATGACAGCTGTCATGTGATGGGGGCTTGGATTTGTTTTACTTAGCCCCAGAAGACACTGTGTGTAGTTACAAAGACTCAAATTTAAGTTTGATATGAGGAAAAATTTTCTAATACTCAGAGGAACTGGGTGAACCAGGAGATAGTAAGTTCTGAGGTCTGCATATACAATGGCTGGATAAGCTATTTTGGGGTATGTTTCAGAGGGAATTATTTTTCTAGTATTGGGAAAGCTAGATGACCACTTAGGTCTTGAAATTCATAACAGGAAAATACACTTAGAGTAGAGAATATTAGAGCTGGAAGTTATTCTAAAAACACAATGACAGGGGCAGCTAGGTGGCGCAATGGATAGACCACCGGCCCTTAAGTCAGGAGGACCTGAGTTCAAATACTGCCTCAGATCAAACACTTGACACTTACTAGCTGTGTGACCCTGGGCAAGTCACTTAACCCCAATTGTCTAAAAACAAAACAAAAAAACCCACAATGATAAAGCTAGAAGGGATCTTAGAATGGACAGTAATGGAGCACAGAATATTAGGATTCATTTATTCTAACTCCCTCATTTTAAAGATTGGGAAACTGAGTCTCAGAGAGAGTGATTTGCTAGTAGCAAAATCTCCAAGCCTTCTGATTTTCCACACACCAAGCTATTATTTTCCCTACTGATTTATATCATAATCTTACTAATGCTTCATTTTTCTTTTCTTCCCTTTTTCTCTTACCTTTAAACCGCAGCCCCAATTCCTTCTCTGCGCCCCTGCCTCCCCCCAGAACGGATCCGAAAACAAGCACTCTAGGGAAGGGATCTTTCTATAAAACAAAATTCTTCTTAAATGTAAGTAATCATCCGATCTCATTTCTCTGTTTTGCAAACTTGAATTTCAGGAAGCCCATCATCTTTACAGTGACGACTAAAAGCTTGCCTCAATGAGCATACTCCCCTACTTCTGTCCAAGATGCTCCTCCTGTCTTTACCCATCTATTGGTTCAAGAACGAGGTAAGCAACAAGTCTTTTACCTTTGACAGTTCTCCCAAGTCAGGGCGCACCCAGCCCAGTTTGTCCAGGACGCAGTTGTCAAATTTTGCCTGTTCTTTGCGACATCGGCGAAGCTCTTGAAGATCAGAATAATCAAGACAGGTCCAATACTCAGTAAAGGGCTCAGCACAGTGTGTCTTTATACTCCTGAAAGGCAGGAACTAGGAAGTTAGCTTACGGGGAAACAAAATGGGGAGAAAAGCGATGAGTGTGTGAAAAAGCATAGAGGCAACACAGTGAAACAGAAAGATATTGGATTTAAAATCAGGTAACTTGGATTCAAAGTTAGGCTCTGTTATCTGTGTATCTCTGTTAACCATGTAACTGTGTAATCTGTGAGTATATCACTTAATTTCTATAGACATCAATTTCCTCATCTATAAACTAAGTGGGAGAAAGAACCTACCTGATATCTAAGGGCTCTTCCAATTTTAAATTCTATGACTTATGATGGTAAAGTACATTCTAGGATAAAACTCAAAAGATGATTTCTCTCTTCAATCTATCCCCCACACAGCTAACTATATCCATTCTCCTACTCAAGAAACTCAAATGGTTTCAAACTATGTCTTAAAAAAAAAAAGAAAAACTTCTTTCTTTGGCACTTAAGTTCTTCACAATCTGGCTTCAGCCTACCTTTCCAGGCTTACTGCATGTTAAACCTCTTTCATACCTTCTCTGCTCTAGCCAAACTGACCTACACAATATTCTGTCTCCATCTGGAGATGGAGCCTTTACACAGACCTGGATTCTTTAAGAAGTCTATCTTGATCCTCCCAGTTGCTATTTGCCCTCCCCACTAATCCTCACAACTGACCCTACTTACTCATCTGTGAGCATCATCCTCCCTGACAGCAAGTGAGCTCCGTGAGGGCAGAAACGTTTTCATTTTTGTTTCTTTATCCCTAGCATAGTGCTTAGAACACAGCAGGCACTGAATTAATGTTTATTACATAAATCAATGGGATAAAAGTGGGAGATAATGGCAACAACAATAATAGTAATGATGATGCTGATCTTTAAGTGTGTATATGTATAAAATATTATTTCCAAAGCACTTTACTTACATTATCCCAATTAGTGTTCACAATGAACTTAAAAAGTAAGTAATACAAATGTCATTTGGTTTTTAAAAATGAGGAAACAAAGAATCAGAGATGTGAAAATATTAAAACATAGACCTTCTTATTGCAAATATAACACTCCTCCTATTATGTCAATGATGTTTTTGTAAAAACCTTGATTATGCAGTAAGTTCTATTATTGGAAAGCCACCTGAGAACCAGAAAATTGGCCTAAAAGGCCACAGAGAAGTCAAAACAGATACCATAGAGTTAAGTAAGGCCCTAACTCTCTCTCCCTCATGAGGAGCCTATTTATACTTGTAACACCTAATTCAAATAAACTAAGTTAATTTGACTCCTAAAACCAGAGCAGAATAGAAGCAAATTAAGTAGTGGTAAAGACGGAGTTTGGAGAACTACAGCAGCAGCAGGCAAGTGGAGAGTAGCAAGAAATGACAATGACTATGAGAGAGAAGACAGGAATAATGCAAAAAGCAGACACAAGAAGTCAAAAGCACAAAGTACATTCCAAGACCACTAAACACAGTGTTTTACAGAACACTATATCAACTAATATACATAGTGAAAGCTCTGGATCATCAAGAAAAGGTTATGGTATATCAAGTATTCTGTTTATGAGAAAATGTGTGCTTTATTTTAGAAAGACTTCCATCCCAAAGAGGGAAAACTGTTTTGGTGCTTAAAATTTAAGACCACTGAAAAAGTCTCTAAATTCCTCCTCCCCCTGCAAACATTACACTGTTCCTAACAATGTTAGATATAGAAGGTGTTAGCTGCAGTAAATGGGACAGTATTGATTATTAGCTGGTCCTAGAAAAATCCAAGTCTCAGACTCACGTCCCACTGACTATCAAACTCAACATGTCCAAAATCTGCTCCTTCAGCACCATCATTCACCTACTCTCATTCAGTCAACTTGCATTTGTTAAGTACCTGCTATGTGTAAGGCTACTGGCTACTATGAACCAGGCTACTATGCTAAGTGCTAGGGATACAAAGAAAGGTAAAAGATTGCTCTCAAGAAGCTTCAGTCTAATGGGGGAAACAACATGAAAAGAACTAAGTACAAACAAAACATTGATATCTAGATATAGATACAAATATGTACATATATAGATAAATCTCTATATATTGCATCTGCATACACAAGCAGGATAAACTGAAGATACTCAATAAAGGGAAGACACTAGCATTAAAGGGGATTAGGAAATACTTCCTGTAGAAGTTGTGATTTTTGCTGGGATTTCAAGGAAGCCAGGGAAGCCTGAAGGCAGAAATGGGAAGGAAGAGAATACCAGGCATGACAGCCAGTCAGTGTATTACCTTGGATTACCTTGTTCCAGAAATGGCAAGGTCAGTGTTGCCAGGAGGGGGCCAGGTTATAAAGGGCTTTGAAAACCAAAAAGAAAATTTCATATTTGATTCTAGGAGTAATAAGGAGCCACTAGAGTTTACTGAATAGAGGAGTGACATTGTGAGATCTACTCTTTAGGAAGATCAATGTGACAGCTGAATGGAGGATGGATGGAAATGGGGAGAGACTTGCTATTCTCTCCTGTTTATAACCTAGGGTTATCTTCAACTCTTCCCTTTCGATTCTCTTTCACGTCTAATCAGTTAGCAAGCTAACAACACATCTCACAATCATTTCCTCTTGATTCCCACTACCATCACCCTTAGTGAAAGATTTTATTACACTCACATGGACTACCAGAACAACTGACATTTAATTTGCATAGATTCTTAAAGTTTGTAAAGTGCTTTACAGATAATATTTTATTTGAACCTATAAGGTAAGAACTACTGGTATTATCATCCCTATTTTACATAAATGAGGAAACTGAGGCCTAGAAATGTTAAGTGACTTGCCTTTGGTCACAAAGCTACCAGGCCATTCCTGCCTCTAAGGCCAGCACTCTATGCATGATATCATGTTGCCTTTCCTAACAACCAGAGCCTCCTAACAGGTCTTCCTGCCTTCACTCTCCCTCTCTCCAATCCATTTTTTACTGCTACAAAAATAATCATTCTTAAGCAGAGTTGTAGTAAAGTCACTCTTCTGCTCAGAAAATCTTTAGCGTGACTTCCTATATTGTCTGTTGAGTGAAATGAGAAATTTAATTGAAAGATAAAATTGACTTTGGAGGGCTTGGTATATAATCACAACACTTCAGAGATGTAATGGACCAGACTTGAACAAAAAGCTACCACATAACTAGCAAGTATGGCACCATTCCACCTTCTTATGCTATTCCCTTACATGATCCCAAAATGAACTATTCTCTATGCTTGGAACCTACCCTAGGCTTTCTACCCCAAAACCACGTATGGTGCTCTGCACTATCTAGCTAACAAATTTTTAATTGAATTGTTGAACATGATATGAGGTAAAACTGCAGGGAGAAGAGGGGGATTTATTTCTTAAGAACAACTTCCAACTGAAATGGCAAGCAGACCAAAGGTCCTAGGGAGGGTTGCTCAAATTAGGGTTCAAGGGCTCCCTTAGATTGTGGCTACCAGGTTTCTTTCTTAGGTAATCAGTTAAATAAAGGTATATAATGTAGAATTTGGTTGTATTCTATTTTTAAATTTTATTTTAAACATATTTCAACTAACAAAACTTGCCCTTTCTTCCTCCTACCTCCCCTCCTCACAATGAAAAAGAAAAAAAAATTCCTTGTAACAAATACGCAACCAAAACCAAATTCAGTTACAATGTATTAATGACCTTCTTACAAAACAAGTTTAATAGAAAGTATGCCTCTATACAGTAAGATGATGATGATAGAGGTCAATCCAGGGAATCTCCCTGCCCCCCTCCAAAAAAAGGAACTCATGTAACTTTTAATTCAGAAATTCATAATATAGTGGAAAGAGTACAGAGCTAAGAATAAGGACACCAAGCTTCAAGTCTTGATCCTGCTGCTAATTTATTGTAAAGGAGTGGTTAAGTCAATATTGGGCCTCAGTTTCTTCACTTGTAAAACGAGAAGATTGCACTAAATAGTCTCTAAAGTTCCTTGGAACACTAATATTCTACAGCTCCATGATTTATGACAGCTTTAATCAGTTATTCATGACTTCAAGCTCATCCCTGTCACCCTAGAATCTATACAACCTAACTCTGCCCCTGACATTCTCAGGATTAATGGCTTTCTCCCAAGGAAGCTTTCAGTCACCATGGGACAAAGTGAGAAAAAAACTTTTACCATGGGAACATGGTATACCTAAACCATAAGAAATTACTATGGTAAGAATCTCCTTTTAAAAAATTAGAAGTTCCAATTTCTGAATTCTTATTTTGAGCTTTTCCTAAATCAATTCTTTAGGTCTTATTACCCATGCTTCACAAATGAATGTGTTAGAATGGAAAAAGCCATTGAATTAGGGTCAAGAAACCTAGGTTTGAGCCATGAACAAATCATCTTTCTAAGCCACAGTTTCCTCATCAATAAGAGACAATACTTGCATTACATACTTCCTGGAGCTGCAGTAATGAAAGAACTTGGAAACTGCTAAACCCAATAAAATAATAACCTACTATTTATGTATTAATGTTAGTGTAATAGCATATTATTAATTAAACAATAATTCCTCTTATTATCAGGGGCACAGACAATACAATGAGAAAATACATACATTGCTATGTCTCACCTCTGAAGTTCTTCACTCATTTTAAAACTTGTCTCTGCAGCTGCCTTTTCTGAGTGTTATTGCCAATATGAAGCAAGACAACAATTTTAAAGTCTTATTTCACATTATTAACCTTTATAAACAATAACTTTCAGCTGAACTTTATCAGCTACTTCCAAAGCTTGAGGTTCTATCTCTCAACTCTATGAATTTGTACAAATTGTTCCTAATACCTGAAATGCATTACCTTCTTCATTTCTGTCTATCAGAAGAGTCTTGGACTTAAGAGTGAGAGGAACTGGATTCAAATCCCAACTCTGCGGTGTATTCTTGGGCAAGTTATTTAATGTCTCTGCCTCAGTTTTCTTCTATGCAAAATAAGGGGTTTGGGATAGATCAGTGGTATCAAACTCATACAAAAATCGGGGCCACCAAACCATATATAAAGATTCCTGCAGGAATACTGACTTAGAAAACCACATATTAATATTATCTATGTTCTACTGTATTTTTTTATTTTGTTAAATATTTCCCAATTACTTTTTTTTTTTTTTGCTTTTTGGTGAGGCAATTGGGGTTGACTTGCCCAGGGGCAAAAAGTTAGTAAGTGTCAAGTGTCTGAGGCCAGATTTGAACTCAGGTCCTCCTGATTCCAAGGCCAGAGCTCTACCCACTGCACCACCTAGTTGCTGCTGCCCCCCCCCCCCATTATGTTTAATCAGGTTCAGGCAGTAAGGGGAGTGTTGCAGCTGGTGCTTGACACCTCAGGCATAGATGACCTATAAAGTATTTATATCTCCAAGTCTATTATCCTCTGATCTTCCTTCAGGGTTTGCTCAGGTGTCATATCCTCTATGATACCCTTCCTCATTCCCCCATTACTAACTGGTCCTGTCTCAAATTACTTTGTATACCCCTAGAGTACAATGTAAGCCTTTTGAATGCAGGGACTAGTTTGTCTTTGTATCCCCAGGACCTAGCATAATGCTTTTCACATAGTATGCATTTTAGTGAAATAATTTTGGTTAACCAACTGGTCTTTTGTGTCAGGGCATTTTTACACAGAGAAATCTTTACCTGAAGAAATCAATAGCACACTGATTGACAAGTTTCCCTTCCCTTAAACATCGCCTTGGGTCCTTTTCTTCCCAGCGGCAAAGCATAAATTCTTTATTGACTTTATCACACTGTGCACCATAATGATGGGCTGCAGCTTTTAGCACAGCAGAACTGACATTCACCTGCAGGAAAAGTTTTAAAAGAATTACATATTTATGAACGAAAACAAGTTCCTTAATCATACTTGTGCTACTAGATTATAAGCTCCTTGAGGAAATGGATGATGTTTTTACCATATATCTTAGTGACTGTATTGATCAGAATATAAGCTGCCTCCAAATATAGGCAACAGCCCTAAAAGACCTCTTTGAAAGGAAAAATAGGGACTTATAATGAAATAATTACAGAAAACTACAATAAAAACTATGAATAGATTTGTTGTGAAAAACGGATGGTAAGGGAGGAGATATAGATTGCCCAAATGATCAAAAAAAATGATCATGGTCCCAAAGGAAAAGAGTCTAGTACCTGAAGTTGAAACAAGATGACAACCAGCATTATTAACAAATTCAAATTCATATTGAGGAAAAAAAAAGTTAGTAGAAACACAACTGCAGATTCCAAACTGGACTGATGCTTTTTATCCTGTAAAGGCTAGGTGAGGAGGTTAAAAGCTAACTGTAGCAGAATCATTTGCCACATGCAAGTTTTGTATGAGCCATATTTGGTAGGGAAGAAAATCCTGATATTTATATTTGAAGCAATAGCATCAATCAATCAATAAACATTTATTAAGTGCCTACTATGTGTCAGGCACTGTGCTAAACACCAGGGATACAAAAAGAGGCAAAAGATAACCCCTGCCTTCAAGGAGCTTACAATCTAATGCGGAAGATACCATGCAAACAAATACATACAAAGCAAGCTATATACGGAATAAATAGGGAAATAATAAACTGCCAAGAGATAGAGTGTCATTCAAAAACAGCAAGGAGGTCAGTGTCACTGGATCGAATAGCTATGTGTCAGGTAGTAAGGTATAAGACAACTGGAAAGGTAAGAGGCAGCTAGGTTATAAAGGGCTGTGAATGCCAAATAGCACATTTTGTATTTGATTCTGGAGGCAATAGGACTCCAAAGAAGTTTACTGAGTAGAGGACATGAGCAAACCTTTGCTTGAGGAAAATCACTTCCATGGCTGAATAGAGGATGGATTGGAATGGGAAGAGACTTGAGACAGATAACACCAGCAGGCTATTGCAGTAATCAAGGTTCAAGGTAATGAGGGCGTGCACTACAGTGGTGGCAGTAACACAGGAGATAAGGGAGTATGAACGAAAGATGTTGCAAAGGTGAAATTGACAGGCCCTGGCAATAGATTGGATATTGGGTGGGAGGGATCAGTGAGAGACAGTGATGACTCCTAGGCTTCAAGCCTGAGGGAACTGGGAGGATGGTGTTCCCCTACAGTAACAGGGAAGGCAGGAGCAGGGGAAGATTTGGAGGGTAGATAATGAGGTCCATTCTGGATATGCTGAATTTAATATGTTTACTGGATATCATGTCGGAGGTATCTGAAAGCCAGTTGGAGATTCGATATTGGAAATAAGCAGAGAGGCTGAGCAGGATAGGCAGATTTGAGAATCATCAGCATAGAGATGGTAATTAAATCCATGGGAGCTATGACATCAAATAAAGCAGCATAGAGGGAGAAGACAGGAGGGGTTAGGTCAGACTTTATCTCCCCCTCAACCCTAACATTTATCTCAGGACCTTGAACATAGCATGTACTCAACAAACATTTATTGAATTGAAAGTCATTAACAGCTGTTTATTTACTATCCTCACACATTTATTCAGTATCTTTTTCCAAAATAGATTCTTGTTGGCCGAAAAGTCTTTAAGTATTTATATGTATTCTTTAAGTATTCATATGTACCAATTAATTTCTCATAATAACAATATCACTTCACAAGTATACAAAACTAAGATTTCAGATAACACTTCCCTTACAACCACCCTCTGATGTGGATAGATAGTGAAGCTCTCCTCATCTTGTTGACAGAGGTACAGATGGGGAAAACTGAGGGTCAGAGACCTTTAAGTGCCCTATTTAAGACAACCACATTGCTAGTAAGTGTTAGGATTCAGACAAATGCCAATCTGACTGCCAAGTTCTACTGGGTTAAAAAGTAGGTCATTCATTAATTTATTCATTTTCACCTAAAGGTATACTGTATGCAGAACACTGGGTTAGGTGTCAGGAGAAACACAAAATTTAAATAAGAGAGATTGTTGTCCTCACAGTGCTTTACAATGCTTTTTGAGACCTGGGTTCAAATTCAGGCTTCATCTAATAACCTGTTTGTCCTTAATCTCTCAGTCCAACTCTCTAAAGCTATAAATTGAAGAGAATGTGCACACCAGCATTGACAGAGGGAGTTTCCTCACCTAAAAGTTCCCTCTATTAATGAAATCACAGTTCTAGTTTTCAACCAAATCCCCCCAAAATAAAACATAACCAAGAAAAAACACAAAACACAAAACAAAAAACCCCTTACATTCATGCCAGAAAACCTCTCTTTCCACAATCCTGAAAAAGTTATTTAGTGACAAATCAAGGGGCATATATTCTAGTGATAGCTCATACTTTCATCAGGATATTGATATCTTTTGTTTTTGCATCATCTTTACTTTTAAACATTCCTCCTCCCCCCACCACTTATCTAATGAACCATCCCTTCTAACAAAAAAATTTAGACAAAGAAATAAAGTTCAGCAAAACTGACCAACACATTAGGTATGCAATTTTCAAATCTTGCCTAGAGCACACATATACTCTGTCCCTGCTCTGACAAAGTCAAACAGTTATTGAATTAGCCAAGGGAATACTGACAGAGTTCTCCTAACTCCCATTCTGGGGTTCCTTCCACTCCAACATAGTGCAGACAAGGTCAGGCCGACATCCATAGCAGCTAGAAATAGAACCATAATGCCTAGGTTCCTGGGCCCAACTTTTGCTACTGGCTACTTACTGGTTACAAGCTACAGGACTCAGGTGACAACTATTGAGTCTGAGATGTCTGTCAACTGCCCAAAGCTAAAAGGACTCTCCTGAGGCTAAGCATAGGCCCCTCATTAAGTTCAGGACACAGACATGTCTAACTGACACCATCAGGACAGAGAGAAAGTAAAATGACTGGTGACAGTGCCTCACACTGACAGTGAGTATTCCTCAGGAGTCACAAATATGGGCTTGTGCTTAGATCCAGAAAGACTAAAGAGGATCAAAAGGAGTGGAAAGGAATGGCAGAGACCATAGGCTTTCCACTTATAGGAGGTGGAAAGATAAGGTCCAAGGGAGTTGAGGAACACTCTAGGTGGAAAATGGGAGGGGGGGAAGGTTTCAAGTCTGGCAGAGAGTTGAAGGAAAGATAACTGGAAAGAAGGGATCAACAATCAGGTGTTTAGGGAGTGAACTGAGGTGGGAGAGCCTGCCCCACAGGGAAAGCCACTGCTGCCCCCATGTAATAAATAGGTGCAGCCATTTAAGGGTCTCCCAAATCTGGCCCAGGAAGAGGTGATCATCAGAAAGTAAAGGTAAGGGGTGGAGGGAGGTCAAGCCCCAGTAGGGGAGGTAGAAAGTATGATGAGGGACAATTCCTTGGTAAAATACAGTCAGTAATTTACTTACTTAGAAGAGAATGAGGGCGACCAAGAAGAGAATGGGGGGATAATTGTATAGAGAATGTGGACATGACTAGGAAGAGAATGGGGGCTACCAGGAAGAGAATGTGGGGGTGACTAGGAAGAGAATGGAGGTGACAGGGAAGAGAATGGAGGTGACAGGGAGAAGAACGGGGGTGACAAGGAAGAGAATGGGAGTGACTAATAAGAGAATGCAGGGGTGAATAGGAAGAAAATGGGGATTACAGGGAGAAGAATGGGGTGACTTGGAAGAGAACGTGGGATGAATAGAAAGACAATGGGGTGACAGGGAAGAGAATCCTGGGCCGGGGTGGGGGGTACAGGGGGCCGGCCTAAAGGGGCTCCTGGACGCGCTGAGAGGAGCCAGGCCTGGAAGGTGCAGGGCCGGGACTCGGGCCGCTGTTCCGTCAATTGCTCACCGCGAGCAGGGCCTCACCTCCTGCACTTTGAGTTCGTCCAAGGCGGGCAGCTCCACCACACCTGGCATGGCGGCGGCAGCAGCGCACGGGGCCCAAGACGGCCGGCTCTACCCCGGATCTCCTTGAACTCCCCTTTCCCGGACTCTGCTCCCGGGTCGCACCGCAGTGACGCATGCGCAGACGCAGGAACAGGCCGTCGCTCAGCCCGTTACCCGGGGCTGCACGCAAGCGCAATGGAGGGCTGGAGCCTCAGGGGCGACGGGGCATGCGCAAGACCGGTTGCTATAGTGAGGGCCCTGTACACAGTGGCTGGGCCTGGATGTGAAGGGAGCGGACGCCATGCAGTACACCGGCAGCAAGTACTTTGGTGGATTTGTTCATGGAAGGTAAGGAAGGAACGTTGTAAACACACGGCAGTAGCCATGCGAGAAGATGGAAGCGGAATGAGAAGAATCAAAGGACAATTCCTCCCAGCCCCAGCCTTGCTGTGCCTTCCTGATAGCAACAAGAAGTCCCACTGCGGTGTCTTGAGGCCAACCCGACGACTGGGCCCAGTTAATCCTAACTGCGCATCCGTTAGCCTGCCCTGTCGCGACAGCGCCTCCCTCGCCACATAGTATATCGTGACTTGATTGGCGCTCCCTTCCCCTGCCCATCCTCTGTCATGTCCTAACACATCTCCTCCAAGCCTGTCAAATTTTGTAATCCCACGTCTCCACAGAAGCACACTCTCCCCACAACCCCTGCCAGACTCATCGTAGACGGGGTCAGAGCTGAAAGGACCAACTCTTCATTTTGAAGTTGAGAAAATGGAGACACTGCGTTGTGACACTGGTCTCTACCTACATTGGTACAACATGACTAAAAACTGCCTTCCCACCCTTCCAATTTTTGAGGTTATGAACAAAAAAAAAAATTCACATGTTATGGAGAGGTACCCTGGTAAATTGGAATGAACCTCAATTTTCCAAGCTCTGCTTTTGTCTAGCTGTGTGACTTTCACCAAATCACTTTTTCCTCTCTGGACCTCAGTTCTCATCTGTTAAATGAAAAAAGTTAGGAGATATTTATCTCTAAGGCTGCTCTAATGTTCTATATTATCCAAGTCTTATCTAGAGTCTAACAGTCTGGTTCTAATTTCTAACATTCTTTTTGTGTTCTGTGTTTTTATGTGCTATGTTTAAAGGTCCTATTTAGCACTAATATTCTATGTTCTATGATCTATTTCAGGTATAACAATATACATTCTAATATTTTGTATTCTAACACCCCTTCCATCTCCTAACTTTCTACATTCTATTGTTGAATGTTTTATGATCTCAGACTTGCATCTCTAACATTCTTGGTTCTAAAGTTCCTTCCAGTGCTAACATTTCTAGAACTCTGTGAATTTTTTTTTAATTTTCATTGATGAATTTTGTTTTGCCATATTATATAATTTAAAACCCCCAAATACTCGTAATTGAATTTTACAATATCAAAGTCTCCCCCAAACAGGTAAAACAACATAAATGAGTGATTATAGTGGTAATTACATGCAACCTTACATTTTAGTAGTTTTCTGTGTATTAAAAGAATGAGCTTATGCCTTACAAGTTAATTTCAACATTGTCCATTGTTCTTCATCTGAGTTTTGGTGTTGTTTGAAGTTGCATTCATTTATGTAGTTGTAATATATTTATTGTCCTTTTGATTCTGCTTTGTTGACTCTATCACTTCATATAAGACTCCTCTTGTTTCATTAAATTCTTCATATTTGTCATTTCTTGTAGCCCAGGAAAATTCCATTACATTGATGTACCATAGTATGTGTAGCCATTCCCCAGTTTCCAGTTCCCCACACATTTTGTTTCCAGTTTTTTTCTTATTGTAAATAATATTCCATGAAATTCTGTGTGTTTCCTTAAAACAGGATGGAGGGCCAGGCCTCGTACATTCTCCCAACAGAAACAAAATATCAAGGGGAAATGAAAGATGGAATGTTTCATGGCAAAGGAACCTTGTACTTTCCTAATGGGAGCCAATATGATGCCACATGGGAAAAGGGAAGAATCATAAAGGTACTCAGCTTCTTCCAGGAGACATAACAGGAATCTAGTCCTTTCCAGAACAGAGGCCCTTGAATAGAAAGCCTTGTCTTTCTCTACTGTACACAGTTTAATCATTAACTCATTCAAAAAGATTTATTCAACACCCATTAATTCAGCCAACAAGCATTTATGAAATAATTGTATTCAAAGGGTACATATAACTTCTGTGCATATAAAAGACCAACTTCAAGAGATACAAAGATAATAAAAAATAATAGCTCATATTTACAGTGCTTTAATGTTTACAAAGTGTTTTCCTAATAATCACCTTTCGAGATAGGAAATGCAAAGATTTTTGTCCCTATTTTACTAACAATAACTAGCATTTATGTGGCACTTACTATGTGATAGGCACTTTACAAATATTATCTCCTATCCTCTTAACAACCCTATAGGTAGGTACTATCATTATCCCTATTTTACAGTTGAGAAAACTGAAACAGACAGAGGTTAAGTCACTTGACCAAGATCACACATCTAGTGAGCATCTTAGGTCAAATTTGAACTCAGGTCTCCCTGACTTTAGACCCAGTGCTTTATCTATTGAATCACCTAACTGCCTCATTTTGCAAATGAGGAAAATGAGGCTTATGGAGAGTGTCAGAAGACCTGGTTGTGAATCCTGATTCTGTTACTTAGGATTTATACAAGGAAGGGAGCTAAAAGATCACCTATTCCTTTACCCTTCCTCCTTGAATTTCTGTTTCTTGAAAACCTCTTCATCTTAGGCCCATCTTGAATGCCATCACCTCCAGGAAGTCTTCCCTTTCTTAATCTCACCAGGCAAATTTGAGTCCTCCCTTCTCTGAATGCTCACAGCACTCTGGTACTCTAGGTGGCACTTATCACATTCTGTCTTATGTTATAGCCATTTGTTTATAAATTTTGTCTCCTTCATGGGATTGAAATTCCTAAGGGCAGGGTCATATCCTACACATCTTTGTATCCCCTTCCTCAGCTTCAAACTCTAAGTATCAGAGCTTTCATCTAGTAGATACAGATGAGGAAATTGATGATCAGAGAGGTTATGTGACTTCCCCAAGGTCACACAAGTAGTAAATAACTGAGCTGAGATTTGAGGTCACCTAATATTAAATCCAGTATTCTTTCCACTATACTATGCAGCCTATATGACCTCAGACAAATTATTTGAACTCTCTAGTTCTCAATTTCCTTATCAAAGCAATGAAGGTATTGAACTAGATGACAGCCAAGGTCCCTTTTACCTCTAAATTCTATAATCCTATAACCTTGCACAAGGTCACATAGCTGGTAAGTGTCAGAACCAAGATTCAAACTGAAGTCCCTTACTGCAAATCCAATGCTCTTTCCAAGACACAAGTGAACCTACTGAAATGATAAATGTAATAGGCACCACAAAAGAGTTTTTTGATTGAGAGGATATACTCCTATGCTTGGAGTCCCCTAAATCTTCCCTTTCAGTCTTTATTATGTATATTTGAGAATTTCCCTCCTTTCAATAAGCTCTGGAATATATCTTTGATTACATTTAAGTATATCTTTGTATAAATAATTTAAATGAAGCTAAAAGTTAGATAAGAATCATCATTCAACAACCCACAAATGGTGAGCACCATTTGCAAAGCCTTGTGCTTGGCACTGGTGAGTAGGTGGGAGAAGGGGGTGAGGAGCAGAGGTCCAAAGGTGAATAACCTCTGATCTCTCCCTTTAAAGAACGTACAGGCCAGTGGGGGTGATAAGACATGGATACAAATAGCTAATGCAAGGCAAAATGTGATAAATTCCATTGAGAAGGACAAATAGTAATGGAGGCATTCAGAAGGGAAAGACAAGGCTTCCTAAAGGAGGTAGTATTTATGATTAGCCTGGAAAGATATATAGATTTTCAACAGGCAAACTAGAAAATGAGGGTTACCTTGTCCTGAGAGCAGCATGAATGAAGATATGGAGGCAAGAAAGAATGGGACAGCATGTGCAGGGAACATTAAGTATTCAATCAAGATAGGTGTGTTAGATGTCTGGAAAAGTAGTTTGAAGATATATTGTGAAGAGTGAGGCTAAGGATTTTGAACTAAATGACTTCTATTATTCTATGAATTCCATAGGGAGAGGTAGGCTTTGAAGGGGAGTGAAATGATAAGATCTATATTTTAGGAAGATAAATCTGGCAGTAGTATATAGAGGAAGCAAGAGACTGGCAGAAGACAAATAAATAAGAAGGATGTTCAAATAGAACAGACAAGAAGTAATGAGAGTCTGAATGAGGATGGGAATAGTGGAAATGAAAAGGGCAGATTGATGTAAAAGACGTGGATATAGAATCAATAGAACTTAGTGACTATGTGGCTATGGATATGGGGAAGAGAAAAAGAAAGGTTTAAAAAAATGACTGGTTTTAATATGGGTAACTCAAAAAGTGGTGGTATCATAGAAATAGAAAAGTTAGAAGTCAAATAAGTTGTAGGGGCGAAGATATTGAATTCAGATTGGGGTATGGTGAATTTGAAGTGTAGGCGGGGCATCAAGGTGGAGGTATCTAGTATGTACTTTGAGATATAATTCTGGAGCATGGGAGAGAGTGTAGGTTTGGAAGTCATCTTTATGCATATGCTTCTCCAACTGCAGACTGGCTTTCCTCATCAGTGACCCTGCCCTTCCTCCTTTGACACCATCCTTTTCAAGACCCCAAAGATGAATACTTACTCCCCAGGTCTCAGATTCATTAGACAGGCATATGACTTCTCTTTCAGGGGAAATACACCTTTGCTGATGGCCTAAAATACAAGGAAAATAAATGGCATTACTGTGATGGCTATGACAGAAGATTTTACACTGAAATCTGTGAAGGTCTGAAGCCTGCAGGTACAAAAATTATTTTCCTTTGTATAATCTAGAAACTGAGTGAGGATGGGGGTTGGGGAAAAACAATAGATTTGTTTTTAAGTTTGTTGAGGTAAAACTAAAGAGTAGAAGATAATAATAGAGCATCAACAGTGTAAGCAATGTTTATGATAGTCTTGACAGGAAAATATTTCCAATATGATAATTATTCCCATTTCTATAGTATCTTGAGGTTAACACAGCATCATCTTAATAACAACTGTGAGAGTTAGGTAGTATAAATATACAGTTATTCCTTCCACATCGCAACTTTTCCCCATTGTGGTTTTGATATATTACGGATTGTCTTAAGAAATTAAATGGGAATTTTTGGGGAGTTTTGTGGAAGCCTCAGATGACCACACGAAGTCCAGCAGACAACACAGAGCCTATGACAAATACTTAACGCAGATTTTACAACAATATGATAAGGACCCATAAAAGAAAAAGAAATAATTCAGACTTCTTCTCTGGTATGAAAGGAGGGCCAAAAAGTTTTGCAGGGATTTTCCATATCTCTGGGTTTTGGGGGAGGGTGCCACTCCCCTAACCCCCACGTTGTGGAAGGGATAACTGTATTCATGATTTTATAAATAAGGAGACTGAGGCCCAAAGAGGTAAAGAGACTTGCTTGAGGTTACAGATATATCTAGTAAGTAAGTCAAAAAGCATTTATTAAGCACTCATTATGTGTCAAGTTTTATGCTCCCTATTGAGGATACAAATTAAGGCAAAAATAGACCCTTCCCAGAAGGGAGAGACAACATGGAAACTAGGTACATATAAACTATATACACAAAAGATTGTCACCTTAGGAATTCAATCCAATTCAATAAACATTGAGTAAGTATCTACTATATACCCACAATATAAGCTCTGTGGATACAAAAAGAAAGATAGTTTTTTTTAAAATTTTTAAACTTTTTTATTTTTATTAATTTATTTTGATTTATCAACAATCACTTCCATAAGCTTTTGAGTTTTAAATTTTTCTCCCCCTCCCTCCTGCCTCCCTCCCCAAGACAATGTGCAATCTGATATAGACTATACATATACATTCCTATTAAACATATTTTCACATTAGTGATGTTGTAAGGAAGAATAAGAACCACAAGAAAGAGGGAACAAAACAGAGCAGAAGAAAAAAAAATAGCAAATAGGATGCTTTGATCTGCATTCAACTTCCATAGTTCTTTCTTTGGATGTGGATAGCATTTTTCATCACGAGGCCTTTGGATATGTCTTAGATCCTTGTATTGCTAAGAAGGGTTAAGTTTATTAATATTAGTCATCTGCACAACATGACTGTTATCGTGAACAGTGTTCTCCTTGTTTTGCTCACTTCACTCAGCATCAGACCATACAAGTCTTTCCAGGTTTTTCTGAAGTCAGCTTGTTCATCATTTCTTATAGCACAATAGTATTCCATTACATTCATATGCCACAACTTGTTCAGCCATTCCCTAATTGATGGACATCCCCTCAATTTCCAATTCTTTGCCACCACAAAAAGGGCTGCTGTAATACTTTTGTACATGTGGATCGTTTTCCCATTTTTATGATCTCTTTGGGATACAGCCCTAGAAGTGCTATTGCTGGGTCAAAGGGTATGCACATTTTTATAGCCTTTTGGGCATAGTTCCAAATTGCTTTCCAAAATAGTTGGATCATTTCACAACTCCACCAACAGTGCATTAGTGTTCCAGTTTTCCCACATCTTCTCCAACATTTGTCATTTTCCTGTTATGTCATGTTGGCCAATCTGATAGGTGTGATGTGGTAACTCAGAATTGTTTTGATTTGAATTTCTCTAATCAATAATGATGTAGAGCATTTTTTCATGTGACTATAGATGGCTTTAATTTCTTCATCTGAGAACTGCCTGTTCATATCCTTTGACCATTTATCAATTGGGGAATGACTTGTATTCTTATAAATTTGACTTAATTCTCTATATATTTTAGAAATGAGGTCCTTTTCAGAGATACTAGTTGTAAAAATTCTTTCCCAGTTTTCTAATTCCCTCCTAATCTTGGTTGCATTGACTTTGTGCAAAAACTTTTCAATTTAATGTAATCAAAATGATCCATTTTGCATTTCATAATGTTCTCTATCTCCTATTTGGTCATGAATTCTTCTGTTCTCCCTAAATCTAACAGGTAAACTATTCCTTGCTCTCCCAGTTTGCTTATATTATCAACCTTTATATCCAAAGCATGAACCCATTTTGACTTTATTTTGGTATATGGTGTGAGATTTTGGTCTATGCCTAGTTTCTGCCATTCTCTTTTCCAGTTTTCCCAGCAGTTTTTGTCAAATAGTGAGTTCTTATCCCAGAAGCTGGAGTCTTTAGGTGTAGTTCTTACCCTTAAGAAGTTTATAATCGAATGGGGAAAGATAACACAGAAAGGAAGCTGAAAAGGGTGTGGGGGTGGGGAGGAAGGGTGTTCTGGATCTTTAGAATTGAAACCAGGCAGAGCAGCAGATACCAAGTGAAGTCCAAGTCCTGCCCTCTATAAAGGAAAGTATTGGCGCCCTCCATCCCTCCAATCTGAGAGCTGTGAAATCTCAAGGCTTGATGTGATGTGATGATTAGATTAGAGGTGATGAGTTTATCCTGGGAGAGGCATCTTGTTCCATTGAGATGCAGAGTGGATTAGAAAGGTAGGAAAAGCACCAGCTATACAGACTGTGAAAGGCTTCCTGCAGCATTGCATCAAATCTTGAAGCCAGGGAAACAAGAGGGGGAGGTAAGTAGGGAGAACATTCCAGACATGGGGGACGACAAGTACAAAGACAAAGAGACAGGAGAGGGAGTGTTGTGTGTGAGAATGGCAAGTAGGCCAATATAGAGAGACCACAGGGTGTGTGAAGGAAAAAAAGTGTAAGAAGACTAGAAAGGTAGGAAGGGGTCAGATTATGAAAAACTTTAAATGCCAAACAGAAGAGAAAGGAGAGAAGAGGGCATAAATGAGAGATGTTGTGACAGGAAAAATGACAAGATTTGGCAACAGATTCCTATGTGGTCAATGAGTGAGAAGAGTTAAGGATGACACTGAGGTAGCAATCCTGGGTGACTGGGAGGATGGAGGTTCCTCTACAATAATCAGGGAGTTCAGAAGGATGAAGGATTTGAAGGGGAAAGCTAATGAGGTCTGATTTAGATGGCTATGGACCCTCCTGTTTAAGATTTCTAAGTCAGTTGGTGTAGGACTGAAACTCTGGAGAGACTAGTTAAATAGGACTGGGAATCTGCATAGAGATGATAATTTAACCATGGGAGTTGATGAGATTATCAAATAAGGCAGTATATAGTGAAAAGAGAAGAGAGACTGGGTTAGAGTTAGGAAGAAAGCGACAGTTAGTGAACAGGACATGGATGGAGAACCAGAAGAAAAGACGGAGAGAGCTAAGAGGAGAACCAAGAGAGAGCAGAATCGTGAAAGCCTAGAAAGAAATAAGTATTGAGGAGATGGTGGTCCACAGTGTCAAATGCAGTACAGATTTTCAAAAGGGCATTAGATTTGACAATTAAGAGATCATTGGTACCTTTGGAGTTTCAGTTGAATAAATAATGAATAATTAGAACCTTTATCTTCTAGCCGCAATCTCAATGACTTTGCACTGTCCTCTACAACAATTATGCTCCCTCCTATTTAGCGACTTCCTCCTGATATCTTATAAAAGTAATAGAATATCTGAACCAAAAGAGACTAGGACACAGAGTACTAAAGCTTAGGGGGAAGAAAGAAGAACATAAATGCTAGAACCAAAGGGACCATATAACAGATGTACTGTGTGCTGTAAATCTGGCTGTCTGATTCAGTTGTTACAGTGAATTAATCATGTTGTGTCCTTTTCAGGTATTTCTCAGCTCACCAACATAGATCCACCTCGAAAAATTCCTGATGGTTGTTACGACTGTGGAGATGGGTTCTATGACCCAAAAGTGAGGGTGATCAGAGACTACAAGAAGCGGTTCCTGAGAAATGCAGGTGTGTTCATTTCTTTTTCCCATCTATCCATAAGTACATTCGTGGCAAAGGATAGGAAGATTATTGCAGGCAAAAACAAAAAAATGACTACCTAAGTCATGGCTATACCAGCTCACTCATCCAATATCTACACAACCTATATGGCACAACTGCATATATGAAAAGGAATATTCATATTCTTATTACAGGTCCAGAAAAAAAATTCTACTAATCCCTAAAGTATGGCCATCAATTCAACAAACATTTATTAGAATGTTAAAGTTATAGAGTGTTCTTGTTCTTTAATATTGAAGTAGATCTATGATCTTATCAATGTGATCACTTCCTCCGTGATACATACAGCTCACACACCCTCCACTCCATATCCTATGGCACTCCCTCAGTGGGGCATTCACATTGCCGACAGCCTTCCTTCACATCACCTGATAGCGTGTGGCTGTGGGTGCAGACCACGAGCTGCCGTTTGTTCTTCTTCACCCTTACTCCATAACTACTGCACATTCTTTTCTAGCTATACATATCTTTGATGACAAGCTTTATGCTGTTTCTTGTGCACAGTTCTTTGAAGACAATAAGCTACAGCCTATTTTATAACCATCTGTCCATCCATGGCTTTGTGAGTGACCTACTGGACTCTTCATTTCAGTCAGACTTGCTGCCACTTCTCCACTAATCATGACTTCCATCCTGGACCTCAATGCATTTGCACAAGTGGATCCCCCGTGTGGGCTGCCGTTCTTGTCACTTCTGTTACTTAACAGCCTCTGTCCCCTGCAAGGCACAAGTCAGAAACTTGCTGGGCAAGGCCCTTCCTGGTCTCCCTATGTAGTGGTCCTCTTTTTCTCTGCATGTTAGTTTATACTATTTTATATTTAGTTACTATTGTGTATCTTGTGTCCCTACTAGTAGAATGTATGTTCTGTAAGGGCAAGGACTCTTACTTTTTTGTCTTTGTATCACTGGAACCAGAAATGCCTTGCTCTCCCCATAGTAGCCTCTTCATAAATATTTGTTACATTTCATTGAATTAGATTCCTTAGAGAATCTACTGGGGTTTTTTGGGGGGGTGGGGGGTTGGGGTTTTTTTTTTTGTTTGTTTTTTTGGTGAGGCAGTTGAAGTTAAGTGACTTGCCCAGGGTCACACAGCTAGTAAGTGTCATGTGTCTGAGGTTGGATTTGAGCTCAGGTCCTGCTGAATCCAGGACTGGTGCTCTCTCCACTGCGCCACCTAGCTGCCCCCTAGATTCTACTGTTTCTATGATTCATAGCTATATAGTTTCATCAAGAGAATACTAATGTTAAAAAGTAGGAATTTTGTTTCAGGGAAAAGCTTGGGGTAATTGAAAGCACAGTGGAATTTTCCAAATAAAATCTAGTCAATCTGTTTTCTTATTCCTATTCAATTTTGTGTTCAGCTTATTGTCTGTTGCAAAGATATAGCTACCAATAGAATAGCTCCATGATCTGTTCATACTACTGCATTTCATAATCTAGGTCATAGTCATTATCTAATCAAACCAAATTCTTTTGAATGACTTTGAAAGTCATTTAGGAGGCTCAGAAATGCTTTATGGTTTGATAAAAACAACATAATGTAATCTACAAGTAAAACTATCTGGAGGACCTCATAAGCCATAGGGAATCTCTTCTATTTATAGTCTGTGCTGGACAGAGGCAGTTTGGTGGTACAGTGCATATAGATGGTTGAGCTTGGAGTCAGGAATATCTGACTCCAACCTTTGACACTTACTAGCTTTGTGACTCCTGGGCAAGTCACTTAGTCTCTTCCTGCCTCAGTTTCCTCAATTGTGTGATAGAGATAATAATAGCACCTTCTTCATAGGGTTAGTGTGAGGGTGAAATGAGATAAAATTTATAAAAAGCTTAGCACAGTGCCTGGAACATAGTAGGTGCTTAATAAGTGTTTGTTTCCTTCCCTCATTCCTGGACATCCTTTAGGATGATAATACCTATAGTGAGCATACATCTATTTGTTTTGTGCCTTCTTGATATTAATAATCAAGATTATCAGTTTATCTGTTGTTTTATCAGTCTTATGATATTAATATAAGCATGTGAGAAATCTTATTGATAGAGAGACTCTAAAGTTGGTGATAATACAATGCTTTTTATAATCAACAAATAATATTTATAGTGGGATTTTGTATTCTCTACATTTTTAAGACAGTTGTGTAACTGTCAAGATATATTCTGTTGTCAAATATTATTTATAAAAGACTGCTTGTTTTGTATGTACTGTTTGGTTTATATTTTTAGATTGTTGTTTTACATTTTCATCAAGGATACCCTTGATAATATATAACTTATTATCATAAAGGTTTTGTAAAGATGAAAAGATAAAGGTGAATCATTAGTTACTTTATCGATTTTTAATTATCAAACATTTATCTTTTTCTATCTTCCCCCCCCCCACACACATACATACACTATAAGAAAAAAAAAAAGAAAAGAAATACAAAACTCTTGTAACAAATAAGCATAGTCAAGCAATACCAATTCGCTATTTAATCCATCCCTTTCTCTCATTAGGTGGGCAGGATTTTTCATCATCTTTCCTCTGGAATAATGGTTGATCATTGCATTGATTAGGGTTCTTAAGTCTTTCAAAAATTATTGGTGTTATAGTATAAGTTATTTCTTTGCCACAAAGATTTTTCCCATTTTACTCTTTCTCTTCTAGTCTTAACTGCACTGGATTTGTTTGTGCAAAAAAATCTAGTGTTATATAACCAACTTGTACATTTTTTCTTATGTGATTCTCTCTGTCCCTTGTTTGATTGTGGACTCTTCCCCTATCCATAAATCTGAAAGGTAATTTCTTCCTTGTTCCTCTAATTTATTTATGGTGTAGCGTTTTATATTAATTTGGAAAATGTCTTGGCATATGGTGTTGATCTAAACCTAATTGCTAGCACACTGATGTTCACTGTTCTCAGCAGTTTTTGTCAAATTGTTACACTAGTTCTTACACTACTAACTGAGGTCTGAGCTACTGTGTTTGCTTCTACATGTCATGTACTTAATCTGTTCCACTGATCCTTTCGGTTTTTTAACCAGTACCAAATTGTTTGAGTGATTACTGCTTTGTAGTATACTTTCATATATGATACTACTCAGGTCCTTCCTTTCCACTTCCTTCCCACTTTTTTTTCATTATTTCCCCTGAGATTAATAATCTTATTTGCTGTGACATTAGTGACTTTTGTCTCTCTGGATGAATTTTGTTATTTTTTTTCTAGTTCTATGAAAGTATTCCTTTTACAGTTTGATTGGTATGGTACTAAATAAGCAAATTAATTTAGATAATATTATCATTTTTTATCATATTGACTTGACCTACCTATGAAAAATTAATATTTTCCCAATTATTTAGGCATGTATTTCTTAAAACAGTATTTTGTAATTTTATTCATATAGTTCTTGTGCATATTTTGGTAGATAGACTCCCAAGTATTTTTTACACTCTTCACTTTTTTAAATGGAATTTCCCTTCTATCTCTTGCTACTGGAATTATTGGTGATATACAGAAATGCTAATGATTTGCATGGATTTATTTTACATCCAGCAACTCTACTGAAGTTATTATTTTAATTAATTTTGAGTTGACTCTCCAGGGTTCTCTAAGTACACCATCATATTATCTTCAAAAAGTGATAATTGTTTTTGCCTATTCTTGTTTCCTCAATTTCTTTTTCTTTATTCTATTGCTATAGTCAGCATTTCTAGTACCGTATCAAATAGAAGTGTTGATAATGGATAGATATCCTTTCTTAACCTCTGATCATATTAGAAATGACTTATTTATCCCCATTACCTATGATGTTGGTTCTTGGTTTTAGATATATACTATTTATCATGATAAAGAAAAGTACACTTATTCCTGCATTTTTTAGTGTTTTGAACAGAAATTAGTGTTGTATTTTCTAAAAAGTTTTTTCTTCATCTATTGATATAATTATATTGTTTTGTAGTTCTTGTTATTAATATGGTTATTTATATTTATGGTTTCTCTAATATTAAGCTGACTCTGTATCACTAGTATAATTCCAACCTAATCATAATGTATAGTCATTATGACATGTTACTGTAGCCTCTTTGCTAATATTTTATTTAAATTTTTTAAATTAATGTCCATTAAAGATAAGGTCAGTAATTTTCATTCTCTGTCTTGAATCTCCTGAGTTTAGCAGTCAAGACCATATTTGTGTCATAAAGGAATTTAGTAGGTTCCCTTCTATTGCTATTTTTGTAAACAATTTGTGTAATATAGAAATTAATGTTCTTTGAATGTTTCATAGAACTATTCAAGTTGTAAGTTTTATTAGTATATAATTGGACAAAATCAGTTTCTAATAATATACTTTGTTTCTTCCTCATTTGTTATGAATTCTTTTTCATTTTTGACGCTGATAACTTGGTTTTCCTCTCAAATTAGCTAGTAGTTTGTATTTTTATTGATTTTTTTAAAAAAAACTGGTCTTAATTTTATTTGTTAATTATTTTTATTTCTATTTTGTTCATAGCTTTATAATATCTATATTTTGGTATTTGGTTTTTTTAAAATTTCTTGGTTTTCTAGCTTTTTTAGTTGCATGTCAAATTCATTGATCTTTTCTTTCTTTTGTTGAATAAAGTCTTTAGTGTTATAAATATTTGCCTCAGAATAGCTTTGGCTGCATCCTAAAAATGTTGGTATGTTATATCATTGTTGTAATTATCTTTAATGAAATTGTCTATTGTTTCTGTGATTTTCTCTTTGACTCATCAATTCTTTAGAAATAAGTTAAATATTTAGTCTCCAGTTAACTTTTACTTTTTTATTGGACTGTTATTAAATATAATTTTTTAATTTTATTCCATTTGTTTGCAGATAAATATTGTAAATATTTATTTATTCATTTATTTTATTGCATTGTATAAACACATAAATAATGTGTTTAATATTACTCTTTCTCTGCATTTATTTGTGAGGTTTTTA